TCTGTCCAAACTGGAAGTTGTCACAAAATGGCCCTTATGAGCTGATTTTTCCTGCTTTATTATGACTCTAATGTCTTTAGTCAGACAGAATCTGGAGGAACCTCTCAAAGAAAAACCCTATTCTATAAATTTGTCCTGCATACACAATCTGAAAGCTACAAACCAGAAAATATTCCACTCTCATTCTCTTTTTCTTTGTTTTTAACCTGTAACATCCGATACTGCAGAAAATCTAAATGCATGACTAGCAAGATCCCCTCATCCCTAGTCAAAGAACAAAATATCTCTCATGAAATACTGTATAAAATTGTATGCTGGAGGACATTGCAACAGTCAGGAATCTCAATAGCTATGAATTATACAACAATATAGGAAAAAAAATCCCTTGTTGGTGAATTTGATTGAACTATTTTCAGGAATTGCAGCAGATCACAACATACAAGAAACTCAGAATACACTAACAGAAACATATCCTATTTGCTAAGTGAGGTAAAGTGGAAAATTTCTATGTAAAATTTTTCAGTGAACTTCTACTGTCTTTAAAAGTCATTATATTTGCATGATATGCTACTTTGATTCTATTGTCTACTGTGCTTATATTTAACTTGCCATAGCAAGTCTCTTTACTTTTGTTTACTGAATGACATTTTCCACTGAATAATGAAATCCATTTTGAAATAGAAAAGGTGACGTGCTGCTAGTAAATTCACTCTGGCATTTATCAGGAACATTAGTATACTTTTATTAGTAGTACCAAAATACTGTGAAGATTATTATTACTTTATAGTACAGACTGTATTGCATTACATTTTTCAATGTTTATTACACAGGATTACAATATATATCCTCCTTATGACATGAAAATTTTGTGCACAATCAGAGGAGCCTGAAAGATGCAGTAGTTCCATTCAACTGTAGATTTGCTCTGTATCTGATGAATTCTCTCCTTATAATGAAGTTGTCATAGCAATGCATTTTTAATAGTACTGATTCATATGCCAGTAATGTTCTGGAGACAGAGCCCTTGATAGTTTTGTAGTATTCACTTATGCTAAATTATAACTTCAGCAAATACTCAAGTACTGGTCTAGTTGCACTATTAGAACATGTGATCAGGATTAAATTAGGCCAAAGCATAATCTGACATACACAACTAACAGAAAGCTGCATAAAACTTTGGGTGGCTCAGTTCAAGAAAGTAAAGTCAAATCCTATATCTGCTTTATATTAAATGTAAATGTTTAATGATTAAAAAACCCTAAACAATTATACCTCACTAGGCAGAAAGAAAAGTTTTGGGATTTTTTTTGTCCAAAGGTGATGCTTTCATATATTGGTATTTATATGGTGCACCAGGCAGCTTTATAGAATAATCCTTGATAATGGGAAATCACAGTACTTTGCTGACTCTGTTTTAGCATGTCTTCTTCTCCATATTTTTAACAGATCAATTAAATTACACATATTTCTAAGGTTTCAAAACAACAGGAAATCATCCTCCAAGGACTACCTCATGGCTGTTTCCAAGGCACTGATAACAAGTGTCAGCATGCATGAGTCTGTGAGAGCAAGACATGATTCATGAGCACAGAAAATTGTCTGATATTACATTCCTTTTTTAATTCAGAATGTGAAGATTAAAGTGCATTATTTTTTAGTACCAGGCAAAATGTAAGTGAATCAAACAGAAATGAAGAAGAAAATGGTGTTAACTTATTTTCTGTGGCTGAGAAAGAAAAGGATTGTGGAGGAAAGAGAGATTCTTTTTCTGATGCTCCTCTAGAAAGCGTAAGGCTTAAATTTTGAAGTATTGGTTGAGAAGACCATTACATAGCACACATCATCTAAATGCTTCTTCAAAGGGCTGATGAAGGGGAAACTATATTGTGAATGCAGTAACTGGCCTAACCAATATGTCTTAATGAAGGTGTGTATTGATTTGGTTATGAGGAATACTTAGCCTCTAAATATATAAATGTAAAATGATAATTGTTTACTCTGAAGTTACCGACCTTCCCTAGATGATGTGAGAAACACAGCTCTAAGTCAGACTTCAGAAACTTGCAAGCAAGGGAAAGGTATGTAAGAACTATAAATTTCTCATACATGTAATTTACCTGTTTCATATATGTAGCCTAAGAGTGAAAAATTAAACCAATTTTTTTTTTCCCAGACTGAAGCACAGTGGAAATCAAACAATGGCAAAGATAGTTAGAAAGGGAACTGTGGAGCAATGAAAGCAACAATTTACCAAATGACTAAACTGAACTTCTGCTTCCTTCTTCTTTCCTGATATATGCATTTTTCCTTATGATCAAAGTTAATCCTACACTTTGAGTATTTAGGAAAAAAAGTGGAATATGCAAGCTGAAGCTGACATACAAACTAAGACTTCCCAGAAAATAAATAGAGTAAGAAATATAGAATATATGCATTAATAAGCGCATATATGCAATACATGCACCTTTAGTTTTTATTTAGAATGGATTGTATTTTTGTTAAGAAATAAGGAAATAAATAAGATTTTCCTTATCAGTTTAAGCTTTGTCTTCTATGAATTTCTAACTGTTTTTTCTTCAAAAAGTGCATCTTTAAAATGAACAGAAACTGCAAATTTAATGAAGGCATCAGCAATCTATAATGTAGTCTCAGACTACAACAATTGGGCACTTCTAATAAGGGCCCATCACCAGAGCAGTGCAGAAGATGCTGAATATGGCTGGGGTTATTAATTTCACACTATCATGATTTCTTCTGCTAAACCTCAACTAAACTGGGAGGCAGAGCTGGGCAGAATTTGGCCTGTATGTACAGGCATAATCTTCAGGTGGTATGTTTTTACACAATTCCAAAGTACTTCTAGTCAACCTAGTTAACTATATGGGGAACACAGATCAAGAACAACATAAGCCTTTCCTGGTCTAAAAGATCATTTACAGTACACAGAAAGAGACAACTGTTCCTTGATGACACTTTTTTTTTCAAGAATGTCTTGATTTTTCTAGGATAAGGAGTATCACCTCTTCAAGACTATCCGTAAGAACGTTAAGCATATGCTGCTGGAGGTCCTCTGTGAATTAAGTGCTATGCACCTGACTACAGTCATTGGCAAGGTGTGACTAATAGACTAGAGATCCTACAGTATTTTCTGGATACTGGAAAATGTGTTTGTTTATGGAAGAATGTGGTACTTAGGCCATAAAGCATGTTAGACACGGAATCCATGTAGAGTTAGGAATGATGATCAGTCTATATCCAACCCCTGAAGACTTACAGCCTTGTAACTGATAATAGAAGCATGCTCAGGTTAAGTGAATGTTGTAAAATTTTCCAGCTTTCTAGTCTGTCTTTAATGAACATGGCCTCATTCACTTTCTTGGAGGTTTTCCTAAGTAAAGGTAATGAACTATTGCTATAGGATACTTCTAATTTAGTTCTTTGCTGCTATTCAAAAGCTCTGCAACGTTTTGAATTAAGTATTTGAAATAATTGTCTCTCCAGGAAAAACAACAACAACAAAAAAAGCATTGCATTACATTTCTACTTTGTGTTCATTTTCATATATTAAAATGTCACTTAATAGTAGCTGAAATAGTGACTGTGGATGGACTCTTATATAGCTGTAAAAAACAAGCTGTAGTGAGAGGCTAGAAGACAATAATACTCTAACTAGCACTATAATGCAGTTTGAACTTATCAGTTGCTTCATATAGAGATGCTGAGATATTGAAAGAAAACCCAGCCATACTCATTTTTCCACGAGTACCCACAGCAATGCAGATACCACCAGGTGCGTACAACTGTAATGCAAGTGTATTTATCTCTAAACAAAAATAACACATGGGAGAGAGATAAACAGGGGCAAAGCTTTATCTGACTGCAACAAATAACTTTACAAATATGATTGCATTGTCTATGTCGAAAAGGCATTTTTGAAGATCTGAAACTGGACAAGTAAGAAAAAGAAGTTGTTGAGAACTGCCAGGAGTACCAAAATAGAGTAGAGAGAAATTTCTGTCTATGATAGAATCATAGAATGGTTTGGGTTGGAACCCAATGAGACCTGGTTGCTCAAAACCCTATTCAACCTGGCCTTGAACACTTCCAGGAACGGGGTATCCACAGCTTCCCTGGGAAACCTGTTCCATTGTCTCAACACCCTCACAGAAAAGAATTTCTTCCTGATATCTGATCTAAATCTCACCTCTTTCAGTTTAAAACTGTTACCCCTTGTCCTACTGCTATACTCCTTGACAAAGAGTACCTCTCCACCTTTTCTGTAGGCTCCCTTTAAGTACTGCAAGGTGGCTGTAAAGTCTCCTCCTCAGCGTCAACTGAGACTAGACAAATGTGTGTTTGACTACATTCAGCACAGAGGTTTTTTTAGAAAGGGAAACGGAATGGTTAATGTGGAAGTTGCTACTAGAAACAGCGAGCTGTTAATTAAAAAGAAGGAAATCAGTGGGAAATGCTTTTTTCCTTGGCCTACAAAGTGGAATTATGTTGTTCATAGAAAACATGAAAAAGGACCTATAATGCTGTATTCCTTTATTGGATAATTATGAATTTGACTTGGTAATTCTCCTATACTTTGCTATCCCAATAATAAAAGTAGTCAGGCTGACATCATACTTGTGCTGTTATACAGCAAGTCGTCCTATTACCTGTATGTTTATAGGAAGATGTAAAACTTAACCTTGACTATTTCATTCTGAACCACAGAACTCACTCTCAGGCAAGTATGAAAAAAAAGCAGTTTCAGATATCATAGATTTCAGTATTGTATCAATATGTAATATTAATGCATAGCAACAAACTAATGTCAAACAGAAAAATGGTGAATAGGTGCATTCTAACAAAAAGAAAAGTGAAAAAGGAAAAAGGTTACGTATTTTAAACAATTTAGTTGTTAGTATAGCCCAAGGCTTTTCCTGATTCTGTTCAAGCTGCAATAAAAATTATATGAAATATTTAAAATGTGAACAGGCAAGTCTACTTACTGTTTCCTGGATGCCAGCGCACCGCATTTAAATATGCGTTACAGTAATGGAAGAGAAATTCATGCTTGGATCGGGTAATTTTTCCTTGAAGTAAGGGCATCAGATCATGTCCATCAATAATTCTGAGTAAGAAAGCATTTCAAAATCAGAACAATAACCCAAACCTCACTTTATTGAGAAGATACTATAACTCTATGTTTCCACTTAAAAGATAAAAATCTGAATGGCCACCTCCAGTTGGTCAATTCAGAGAAAAACCTTCAGGTGCTCTTCCCCTTTGCTTTTTAAATTATTTAAGGAAACATTAATGTTGCATTTTGCCATTAGGAATGTTTTTTTCCTAAACCCATCCTTTTTCTTTTTTCCTTTTTTTTTTTTTTTTTTTCCTGAGAAAGGGACTAGACATATGTGAACAAATTGCTCCAACACAGTCTTCCAGGTATATCTGATCAAGCCATTTGGGAGCAGTCTGACCAAAGTTACCCTAAAACAAGAGAAATATATGCTGTGTTATATGAAATATATGTGTTCCATCACTGGAATTAATGATAAGAACTCTGTCCACCAAATTATGTGTGCCAGAATGTAAAACCAAAGTAGTAATTTCAAAGTTGAAAATGAACTGTGTTTAAATATGTGTTTATCAACTACACACGGACAGAGAGAAATTTATACATATATAAATTCTCCAAATACTGCTGTACAATTCTGATCATGCTTTGAAAAGTCAGTCAAATTACATCCAAATAAGCAAGGCATTTAAATGTTTCCATAAATTAAGCCTTTGAATTTCTGGAATCAGTTGGCAGGGGAGAAATCACAATCTGCGTTTTTCGCCCGGTGTGAAATCCAAAAAATTTTACAAGAATTTTCATATGAAATTACTTTTTGCTGATACACAGATCAGTAGGCAATTAGTTTCGTAGCATTTTGAGCAACATCTCCTAAAAACTTTTTTTGAAACTTCTTAAAAGTTTAAAAATGCCTATGTTAATTTTCATTACCATGTAAACCCCTTTTCACATGAGTGTAACTACTACAAGACAGATACTAACTTCACTTTTTTAAGCCATGAGCTATGTATGACTGTGAAATTCTTGGCAACAATTGTATGCAACAGCACCATTCTGCGTAGGACTCTTCTTAAAGGATGAGCAGGAAACCATCCTGGAATTCCTAAAACTATGCTGTGTGATAACTCTGCTTTCTGGGTGCATCCCTGTCTGTGGCGGTCCATTGATTTAGAGTTTTTCCCACTTTCAGTTTGTTGTGTTTTCTGCCTGAATAATGCACTCTTCTCTCACCCCTGCACTGTCCTGCTAACTATCAAGCTGAGAGCAGGACAAATATGCGTCTATTGTACAGTTTCTGTTTTATGGTCTGTGGATGAGGATAAGGATGTCTCCAGTAATATATCTCCAGGACTTGTGCATTCCCACAACTGCTGATTTCAGGGGGATACATGAGACTTCTTTCTGATGACTTATTGTTCTTCTTTAAGGAAGTACCTTCTCCTTTCCTTTTTAACCTGCTGCCTCCCGGTGATTGAATCCTAATTGTAGCAATTTCTCTTATTTCTTAGGAAGAATTCAGTGGAGCGAAAGGAATTCAGCAGTTGGATCAAAAGTGCTTCAAGCTAGTCCATGACCTATCATCAAGTCGTAACTATGGTATCTAACCTCCACAGAAGAATCAGAGTGGAGCAACTTGCAAGTGAAAGTTACACAATTATATTGGGATTTCTATCAGAGAGATCAAAATAAAACATTGGTGCTTAGTCGTCACTCAAGCAATATGAAAATGAAGTGCTCAAGATCTGCCCACATTAAGAACAATCTGAAATGTTTAGGTTCAACAGAGTTACTGCTTGTAGGAGATCTCCTGGGACCAGCTTGACTAATTTTTTGTATCTTGCACATGTTCTACCCTGCCATTTCTTTCAAGAACTCCATGAATCATCATTAGCAGAGTGTCTGTTCACCACTGGTTTTCCCCATGCAGATTCTGGATGCTTTGTGCTCAAAAACTGTTTGGGCATGATAGACATGTTCAAAGCATACGCATATCACCAGGTTTCTCCACTTATTGGATGGCAACAGAGTGTAGGTGGAGGCACCTTGCTGCTGAGACTGGGCATCTCCTGAACAAGACAAAGCACAGGGCTGTAGGAGTGTCAGTAAAGCATCTTATGAATTTTCAAAAGCCAGTGGATTTTCTTATCAGGCTGCAAAACTCTGTAAGACATTATTTTCACCCACTTGGTAGAGAACAAAAAAATCTGTGAGAAAAGCCTAGCTGGCATTTTGAAGTGTTTTGTTATCTTAGGCAGGCCAAGGTTGAGCTCATAAAGTTTATAACAATTTACACTAGCAGTTCTTTTTTTCTACTACATTCACTCATGCAGTACAGAGCCTTTTTGATACATTCTTTTTTTTTATTTTAGTAAATAATTCTAGGCCTGATTTGATAGGATGTTGCTCTTGGTGGCATTCTCTTATTTTCTTGTTGCTTGTTCTGCAAGTTAAGCTGTATTTACATACAACATTTCTGTAAAATATATCAGTATGTCCATATGAAAAGACACAACATACTACTGTAAGTAATGACAAAAAAGTGCTTTTAAAATCTAGGTTTTTCTTTCCCTTCTCACCTCTATCTTAATAGACGTCACCAGAATGTATAAAACACTCATGAGACCTTCTCTAAAACAGAGATAACTACTGAACATACCTGTCAGAGGGTAACTCTGCCTCAGCAAGTTTGACTATGGTAGGAAATATATCCATGTTACTTGTTGGTTCATCCATATGGGCACCAGCCTGTATCACTCCAGGCCAACGGAGCAGCCCTGGCACACGAATGCCTCCTTCCCAGTTTGTTGATTTTCCCCCTGAATAATGAAAGTTTCATTTGCAAAGAAATAAATTCCTTCTTAGAAAAATACTGCCCCACCCCCTGCCCTCCCCCCGCAAGATTCCATTTAAAGATTTTAAACATTCTATCTAGCTAGAGTATCATCAAATTTATCTTATTTTTAATTTGCTAGGTTTAGATTTTCCAGCTACAATCATTACCTTTTTCACAGTAAGCCTACTAAAATGTATTAGACAGAGCTTACAAAATTTATTTAGTTTACAAATAAATTTAAATAACAACTGTAGGAGATAAAAACACACCTTTCAGGAATCTTCATATAGAATTTGGTCTAGATAGTGTGCTACATAGCCATGTGAAGATATACCAAAAAAAAACAGGTATCAAAAATAAATTAAGGTATGCTTAGATGTCTGAGGTATAAACCCGGAGAAGATATATGATATTTTATCTAAAATGGTGCTTAATGATTTTAAATAGAAGAAAGTACTAATTTAAGTACGATAGTGAATTCTCCAATTCAATGCATTAGGAAGAAATTCACTGCAGTGACGGTAGATCTCAGGATGCTGTGAACATCTTCCTGACTTCTAAACCAACGCAGTTGCACCAAATGTACTATCAACTGATTGCATTCAACACAACCGTGCAGCCATTTCTTCTTCATAAATACATGGTCTTGTGGCTGAAAAAAACCCTAGCTCACAATTATTTGTTATATCAGATTATATCAGATTTTTGCCTACTATTTTCATGAGCTTGATCAGAATTCATAATATTGAATAGTCCAGGACACATAATTATCTAATCTGACATCAGAAAACTTAGACTCTCTAATATCCATTGCGTCAAGCAACAATATTTGCTTAAGTATTTTTTGGAAAACAGTAACAAGTTCAGACCTCAAAAAGATTATCTGTCTTTTAAAGCAGTCTTAAAAATTTACTCTTGTCACAGCAGCAAATGCAATACCATTCTCATGATAAAGCACGTAGCTACCTATTCTAAAACTCAGGAATGAGATGTGTGGATTATTTTTCTTTACATTCTTTTTAAAAAAATAAGATTTTCAAAACAAAAATCTAAACAAAACGTAGATTTAAGTTTATAAAGGTATTATTTGGTGAGATTTAAAACACCTGTCACCTAGCAGAAGGTGTTCACCAAACAGTATGCTGATCAGTTGTTAATATGGTTGAGTCAGTGTAGATCTCAATAGACTATGCGCATCTTCTGTAGAAAAGATGACTCTATCCATGTACAACAGTCATTAGGAATTTAAAAGTTTGGTAGACATTATGTGTTACCTAGCAGGAAAGTGTCAAGACAAATACCCTGACTGAACTAGGGTTCACAGAAATTCCTGTTGAGCGGGAGTAGTTAAATCTGAATAAAAACACAAGTATAAGGACATAAAATTATGGATATCCTTAAATTAAGATATTTTTCAGTGAACAGTTATACCAGGGAGATGATTTAGTTCATGCACCAGATCCTAGTGCTGTGTACACATCACAGCAGCTTGTTGCTGGACAGTATGGACAGACAGAAAATTCTAAGAGCTGATCTATATCATAGCTTTAAGTGTGAGGTTCCTTTTGTTTCTGTAGACCTGTCTGAACCTAGTAACTGTGCTAGCTAGATTGGATTGTTTAAATAAATTCTCGTTTTACTGTTGCCTCCTGTGTAATCTGAAGACAGAGCAATTTCAAGGTAAGTGGTGAATCCCATTCCCAGACATGTTGCAATTCTTACAACCTAGATATCAGATCACTTTCACAGCTTCTAGGTTCACTTTAATTTTCTTGAATCACTGCAGAAAAGGACAGAAAACTTGCACATTACCCAAGCACAAAGGGAGCACTCAGAAAACTCTGCGTCCCTGCTGTGAGGTACAAAAAGCAAAATGGACTTCACAGCAGGGCTATCTCCTCACTTATGTCTATGAAGAAGTGACTGCTGTTTTCCTTTCAAAAGACTAATTGGAGCATAATATTTTGATATCTCTGGAGGTTAGGAATAGCAGGGAACCAGGGCAGGAATGACAGGTCATTGTGGAAGACTGTCTTCTATTATCTATGCCTACTTGGTGTTCATCTTTATTAGAACACTGTTTAGTGACATCACTAGAGTTACTTAAAGCCATTATGTGATTATAAATCCCTTGAAATACATTGTCTTTAAAACTCTGGCTGTTAAGTGTTGTTCAAGCTACCTGCATTCTTTTTTCCTTAAAAAATAAATCGTTTCGCTACCAATTCTTGAAACATGAAGCAAACCTCCAAAATAGAATTAGAAGGAAAATAAAAAATCCACAAAAGGTCATTATTTACAAATAAAATCTCTTGATATTTCAGGAGTCATTAGTTTTGTATTTTGCTTGGACTTGACAACACTCAAACAGAGAAAAGGCAGCACCCTAGTAGTGTGTATGCCTGGCAAACTCTAGGCAGCCTAGCTATATATAATTTTTGTTCTGCTAAATTCTTCTAAAAATGTTCTTAAAACAGCATAAAACACCCCAGGCTGCATTTTCATACTTAGCTATCTATGCTTTCTCAGTAGTTGCACCCTTCAGTGTTATATTGAACAATAGACTCCATTCACCTTTCCTGAAAAATCTGCAAGAGCAGGCAAAGTATAGACATAACTCTCTGCAGTCATCCACAACATGATGTCAAATTTCCATTTAAACCTCATTTCAAATCTTAGCTAAAAGAATATCTCTGGGTTTTTATCCCTCTGATTTAAATTGACTGCTATTACCTAACTCTGGGAATAGAGCTTTTACAAAGGATGATATATAAAGAGGAACTCTGTGGTCTATCACTATTAATATTTTGAAAGGTGAGTGATGAAAATTATTTAAAATAGCTTTATTAGATCACTTGGATTATAACCATACTACCCTTTTGATCCTTCTTATATTCTTCTAAAAACAAAGCCTCTAAACCCAATTTATTCTGTTGAATGATAGACAACTACAAAGAAATTTATTATTGTACTCATCTGTAGAGGACTTCATGCTACAGATATCAACAACCAAACTGGTTACGATTACTTACCTTATAAAATGATCAAACGACAATTTATTTTCAATGGAAAGCTTACTCTTTACTGATTTTCAATCTCTTTCATGTACTCCTTTTGTTAATTTTAAACCTGAGCTGTTCTGGTACAGGTGAATGTAATAGACACAGCTCATTTGGACATCTTTTCATCTGATCTTTCTTCCAATCAAGTAAAATGGTCTCTCAGGATATTTGCTGTTTCAGTCAAAATTGCAAGATGGGTTGATTATTTAAAAGCCCAGATCACTTCAGAGAGAATATAAAAATACAGTACTTTTGAAAAAACAATCAATTCCTGCTCTTATTAAAGTTAAAAGTGAAACTGCAACTAATATCACTAACTATGCAATAGCATAGTTCCTGAGTCCAAATTAATGGCCAGCTTTATTTCTCTGTAGCTTACAGATAAGAAAGTAATAGCTTCAAGAAAAATGCTGAATGAACTTATCATTGCAGTATATGAAATTGTATAAAAATAATACATTTCAATAAAATATTGGTTAATTGATTCCTCCAGTACTTGTTTAGCTCTCACGGATCTGTAGTAGATTTAAAAAATCATGGTCTAAATCCTTAAGAAACATTCATTATTATTTTTCATGGATATTAACAAAGTAACTATGTATATACCTATTTCTAAGACACAGAGCACTTAAAATGAATGTTGTTTAAATGGTTTGCCATTAGCAGCATTTGACTCCATTTCCATTAGCAGCAGAACTCATGACCCACTCTAGCAGCGTGACAGTAGCCAAGTGCCTGTATGCATTGTGCTAAATGCTTCATAAATACAAAGAAAGACAATGTTTCTAATGTGCAGGTCCAAGATAAAGGCAAAATATATATTTAGCTACATATCCAAAGAAGCTGACAGCAATAGTATTAAGGGATGCAAGGACACTAAGTAGAAAATCCCATATTTCACTGAATTTCACTGAATTTCACTGAATTTCTAGAGTTGGAAGGGACCATAGAGATCATCTAGTCCAACTCCCCTGCTAAAGCAGGATTGCCTAGAGCTAGAGCATGTTACTCAGGACTGCATCCAGGCGGGTCTTGAAAATCTCCAAAGAAGGGGACTCCACAACCTCCCTGGGCAGCCTGTTCCAGGGTTCCGTCACCCTCACCGTGAAGAAGTTTCTCCTCATATTTGAGTGGAACCTCTTATGTTCCAACTTGTGCCCGTTGCCCCTCGTCCTCTCACTGGGAACCACTGAAAAGAGTCTGGCTCCCTCCTCCTTCAACCCTCCCTTGAGATACTTGTAGACGTTGATAAGGTCTCCCCTCAGCCTTCTCTTCTCCAGACTAAAGAGTCCCAGCTCTCTCAGTCTCTCCTCATAAGGGAGATGCTCCAATCCTTGAATCATCTTTGTTGCCCTTCGCTGGACTCTTTCTAGTAGTTCCCTGTCCCTCTTGAACTGGGGAGCCCAGAACTGGACACAGTACTCCAGTTGGGGCCTCACCAGTGCAGAGTAGAGGGGGAGAATGACTTCCCTTGACCTGCTGGCTAC